TTTTTTTTTTTTTTTTTTTTTTTTTTAATTTTACGGATATGAAGCAAGAGGAAGGTTAGGTTCTTCGTTCGTGAAGTACGATTTCTAGGAGTTCCAACGTTCGAAACAAGGCAGTTATGCTCAAAACAAATAAACAAACAAGATCTCGGGGACCGACTAAAGCCTGTTAAATGCTTTTGTACCAGAACAGTTGTTCAACCGATGAGAGATAAAACAAACGTGGGATACCCAATAAATGCAGCATCAATCAAAACAGCTGGAAAAGTTAACAACATCATAGATGGACAATCAGACAACAGGAACTGTTCGAAATAAGAACACAAAGTGCGTTTCAGTTCCCCAATTATCGGCCTATTCCAACAGTTAATACAATAAAAAACAACAAAAAAGTGGACTTCACATATACACAGAATCAGGTATCATTCGAATGCACCATATCAATGACGGACGAATTCGGTAGCAGTAGCAGTTCGTATGAACTGCCAGGCACTATTCAGTGGCTAAAATGAAGCACCATTAGAAAAAGCAGCTAAATACCAGGAAGGAGAAGAAGAACAGCTAACTGATTGCCACTACGCACAGTTCGAAAGGAAAGTCCCACTTATTGGATCTCCTTCACCGCATTTTTCATCAGTGAATTTCTCAAGAATCAGTGAATTTCAGTGAACATCAGTGAATTTCTTTCTCCCCCCCCCCCTCCTCTTCCCTCTCCCCTTCCCCGTCTCCAAATCTTTTATCCTACATATCCTTTGTCAAGAAGAAATCAACCACCTATTCCTTGAATATCATGTGAACCAGAATGAGGTATGAACGGAGGAAAGGAAGAGAACAGGGCTTTAAAACGGGTTGCAAGTTGGCCTGTGCATAACAGCTTGTGGGTGAAATATGAGGGACATTTTAAGTATTACTTATTGCTACAAATGCTATGTTCAGGCCGTTGATTTTAGCCACGAGTACACGTTAGGCTTCCTACCATCTTCTTACTTTCAAAAACCCTCCTCTCTCATGCATTCTACTCACCTCTTTCATTTTCCTTTAAATTATTCGCTTCTCTGATTAGAAATTTAATTTTAGTTCAAATTTCATCTTCCTACACAGTTTTAGCACAATAAAACTGGCTGGATGCCAGCCGAATTAACGCACTTTCCAATCGCATCTCTCAGACTCAGCTTTGGTTCCTTTCCTCCCTGTTTTACCCAACTGAAAGTTGACAGGAAGAGGCTGGTGTATATGGAGACCGAAGTAATCATAAATCGCAAATTTCTAATTATATTTCCAGAATAAAATCGATTCGTACCTCTACGTCCCAGTGAATGATCTGGAAGATTCTCGAGTCTTTGTGGCAAAGTGTAATAACGGCAGAAGTGACAATCGCATTTTTCTAGTTCCCAAGCTTCGATCTAAATATAACCGCTGTTAGTGACAAAATTACTTCTACACTTATCGATACTGTTCAAAATTTGCATTTTTTTTTTCCTATTCCGGTCATTGGCAACGCTATCGTTGATGGCTTCCCCTTCCGAGGGTTGCTTACAAGCAAATTACATCAGTTTGGAATTGAAATGAACGGCAACTCATAGAGGGATTCCCTTCCCACTGGCATAGTTGGATCGTCAATCCTGAACATCACAGCAGTCCTCTATGCAATTCCGGTTCGCCTTCTCCGCATTTATACAATTTCGAGAAAGTATACAGATGAAAATGAGTTTGTGCTTCTAATGTGTACATATGTCATCGATCAAGTAAGCTGCAGAGGTCCAATACATCTTATTCTCGAGCTGCATAGCTCAAGACATCGGTTACACCGTCTGATGAACCGCTGAAGTTCGTTTCTTTCTCTTGAAGTGATTACCAGCTTAACGGTTCTTTCGGCAGAAACCATTATTTATTCCGGTTTTTTTCTTTTTCCACATTTTTATACCATAGTAGCGTGCAAAATATGTGTTGCCAAAAAAACTTCGTGTATGAGTTTTCGGATATTTACATGGATGAGAAGCTAGAAAGCTGAAATTCAGAATGTGCAATAGTGGAAGCTCTGCATCGTAACATGTCTTCTCTTGCGCATGACAGCCCAAACTCTTCTGTTCTATTATTTCTGCTATTTTTAACAGTAAGCCTCCGCTGACTGTACAGACTACTTGATGCGCTCCGCCAATTATTTGCACAAAATTAGCACTCTGTTTGATCATAGTTGAGCTGTCTTAGCATCAACAGACTACTGATTCTGATGCATATTCGACTAAGCTTTATGTCTCTTCAAACGAATTTTTATACCCTGATCCAACCAAAAATTTTGTTTGTTTCTGGATAATTTCGCCGCTTCCTCTCTGAACTTTTCCATTCTTCTTCACAATACTGGCATCGACTCTTTGAGCACAAAAAGGGGACGAACATTCACCTTATGTTGCTGAGGCGCTTGAAATAACTACGGCAAATGGATGTTCTTACTCTAACACGGAGTTCTTCAGATTTTTTTTTTTTTTCCATTCTTTGCTATCATAACTTTCTATTTCAGATGCCCAACAAATAACAGAACAAACTTTTTTAAGCGATTCAGCACTGTCATTCAAAAGTAAGCCTAAGGGGTCATTTCCTGAAATCTGCTTGATTCGGCAACTTACTTTTATAGATCCACGGTGGTCGAGTACCAGCAACAACGAGCCATCATCCAAATGTCGCAGCGGATCAACCCCGTTTTCTGCAAAACATCAATAAATTATTTGGCAAATAACCAAATGCGTTAATCCCAGTCCCTGATTATGCACGGATAAGAACTAATACGTGTAGAAATAACATATTAA